GATCCTAAAGTAACCCCTGAAAACAGGCATTCACAATCCACTTCCATTGCTTGGCCAATTACCAATTGTTTTTGATAAGTGACTGATATTAATATTTAGTCAGCCTGGAGACAGTGCATGGATCCAGCTATGTGGACACATTTCCTAATCTAAGGAATCTCAGGTTCCTATTCTGAACAATGGAGATGGTGGCAGTCCTTTCTGGTGGATCTGTGGCAGAGACTGAATGAAACAGCGCAGGGAAACTGACTTCTCTGAGACCAGAGGATGGGGGCTCATTCCCTAGTGCAACAAACACTGATTGATGACTGTTGTGACAGAATTCATTCAGAAGCTGGATGTGCCAGTCAACTTCAGTCAGAAAACTGAGCATCAGGAAAGGACAATTGAAAACATTGTACTTCTTTACGACTCAATGACTTTGAGAAGATTAAATCACTCTTTTTATCTGAATAATATGAGGTAAGATGGTACTTCTTTGCTCCCAGAAAAGGGACTGATGTTAAAGACCTATGGATAAGCCTTGTCTTCTCCACAGAGCTGTGGAGTTCCAAGGCAAGGAACATTAGAGCTTGAGTAGGTATGAGGCAGAACTACAGGGCCAGTTCACACATCTGTTTTCCCATAGTCTGTAATTTCCCATAGTCTGTAATGCTCAAGGTGAATGTTCGATTTGTCCCCATCTCCACCTGCATGGTGGTACCTAAAGCCTTTCTCTAAGAAAAATACTTTCTTCATTCAAATTTAGACAAAAGTAAAAGTCCAAGTTCCTTAGAGAGACAGGAAGCTGGAATCCACACCCCATTAGTCCCAAGTAGTGGCTTTCTAGAGTTTTGAGTCACACAATCCTGGGTTCAAGTTCTGGATCTGCTTCCTACTGTTTCCCTTGTTCTGTGACTGTCCTTGAGAGTGTAGAGGCTCACATTTCTGAATAGGACCTAGTGAGGACACGAGGGTGATGAGGAGACTTCAGATAGTGCAGGAGGGATGACTAGAGTGCACTTGTGGTTTGTTGCAGGGATATATTCAGTGGACAGGAAAAGAGGGACTTGCAAGCTGGCCTGTCTTCCAACGACAACAGCACAGAGATGAAGATGATCCTGATTGTGGATTCTTCTGTGTATCTGTGAGTATATGTCACTTAAATTTAGAGGGTGTGGTAACCTGGCCATGTGAGTGGGAAATTCATTCCAGGTACTTCATGACGTCTGCCCTCCGATACCTAATCTGTTAAAGGGGAGACCCTCTGAGGCCTAAAAACCCAATCTTTAAAGTATTGTAGTGAAAACAGGCCACGTTAAATCTCTTTCAAAAAAAATGTCCTATGCAACATCCTTTTTTGTGTGTTTTGCATTGGTGTATGTGTGTATGCAGACTCACATATGTACTCACAAGTGATGGTGGAGGTCAGAG